GAGCCCCTAGAGGCCTTTGGAACGTAGCAGAGTACTCAGAAAGATATGTGTTTTATAACGTGTTGAGTTTTGTTGCTGCTGCTGCTGGTGATGGTTTGTGTTGAAGGGCAGTGTTTGATCTGACACCTGCTCAGAGGGGTGTCAGGGAAGGCTCAGGAGCCGTCTTTGGGTACAGTAAGGCCAGAGTCAGGTTTTGTAGTTTAGGACAGCAGTGTCTGGTCAGTTGGGCCGTGTTTGGTCCTGTGCCAATGGGGCTCAGCTGGTCCTGAAGGAGTTTTAGTGGACTAGGTCCCTGGTCCTACGGGTGAAGCTTTACCCCATCACCTTTGCGTATTGGCTGAGAGCACTTGCTGGTTGCCCTTGGATAGCTATGGTTTTGGGTTTTCTTCAGCCATGGATTCACTCTCCAATTGCCTGCAATAGCTAGGGCTGAGCAAGGCTGAATCTGCAGGCTTGTCACTTCATCTGGGCCACCTAGGATGCATAGCAGTAAGCAGCTGGCTCTGAAGCAGAGGTGAGGCTTAAACCCACGCACTCCGATGTGGGATATGGGGCTCGCTAGCAGTGCACAGTGTGTACCCCGATGGCACATGTGCTCTCCAGCCTTTCTCACCTTCAGTAACTGTTGGACATTTATTGGTAAAGCAGTCGCTTTGGGAATCTTTGAGTCAGCAAGTAGGCACCAAGCAATACTCTGTGCCACGTGGAGGAGGGAGAGCTTCTGTTCCCTAAAAGCAAGCAGGCAGTGACGGAACTGCTGCTGGCATGCAGTGTCGTCAGCACCCTGACGCTGCGACCTAGGCGAGAGAATCCTGCCTGGTTGCCAGTTTAGCGGGTGCCAGGGTCCATCACCTGGTACATCAGCCTTGTCGGGGGAGGTGGCGCTCAGGAGGAGAGCTTCATTTGCTTGTAGTAAGTACTGGAGACAGTGGGAAAGTACAACTCTAAAAGAAACTCCTGCCTGAGGAGCCATTTGCTAAGGACTTTTTCTTTTCTTTTTTTTTTTTTTTTTAAGATTTATTTTATTATTGGAAAGGCAGATACACAGAGAGGATGAGAGAGTGGAAGATCTTCTGTCTGATGGTTCATTCCCCAAGCAGCTGCAACGGCTGGAGCTGAGCTGATCCAAACAAAGCTAGGAGCCAGGATCTTCTTCTGGGTCTCCCACGCAGGTGCAGGGTCCCAAGGCTTTGGGCAGTCCTCACTGCTTTCCCGGGCCACAGGCAGGGTGCTGGATGGGAAGTGGGGCTGCTGGGATTAGAACTGGCGCCCATATGGGATCCCAGTGCGTGCAAGGCAAGGACCTTAACCACTACGCTCTCGTGGCGGGCCCTGCTAATGACTTTTATAGCAGGAATGAGGGCAGAGTCCAGGTTGGGGTTGGGGGTTGGGCAGAGGGTCCTTCCTGCCCCAGCACCTGCCATCCTCCTGCAGTGTTTGCACAAACAAGCAGATCAGATTCCAGCTGCTTCCTTGCAGCATCAGCCACTCCTGGCTTGTGTCCATTGTCTCAGAATGTGCTTCCAGAGCGTGCAGACAAGCACAAGGGAATGTGCACTCAGGAGCCACTTCGGTTCCTCACCTCTAGCCCAGTGCCCCCCTTGTTTGAGGACTTCTCACTCCTGCTTACAAAAGTGAGCTGGAAATGATACACTCTTTTCTAGCCAAGGCTCCCGTTCCTAGGGAACCACAAGACTGCTTGTTAGTCGGCTCCAAAGACTTGAAAACAGGGCTTAATTTAACTGGTCCAAACTGCCTGAGGGAGTGACTTGAAAAACTGCCAAATATGCAGGATTTGGGACTAGGGAAAGCTGGCCCTAAATGAGTGCTAACCTTATTCATTTAAGCTTTAAGGAACTATTATTATTGTTGTTGTTGTTGTTATTATTATATTTTTACTTAAGGCTGGCAGCTTTTCTGTTTTAAAAAATGCTTTAGCAATTACATTATGTAATTTCTGAGAAAGATTCTTTTTTTTAACTAACTCTGTGTGAACTGTCATTCAGTAAACATACATACGAAAGACTTACTCCCCATGCCCACCCCGATCTGTACACTCTCTGAAACAGAAACCTTTCACTAGAAGTCTAGAGTATGCAAAGCACTGCTTAGAACCAGATTAAACACTGCTGGCAGCTAGAGCCTCCATTCCATCTACTGAGTTATACTCTGAAGTGGGGCCAGTTGTCTTAAAAACTGTTATTCTACTACTCATTTTAGCTGTGAATCGTCTCAAAACATTCCTGCAGGCCATGAGGACCAGGCGTGGACAGGGTGCCCAGTCAGCAGGAAGCTTTTAGAGACCAAAAGTGGTGTTTGTCAAAATTTGGAAGACATAGAGTTGAAAAAACTTATGAACTCTAGTACCTAACCACAATTAAACACTTTGTTTTCTGTTATATACAAAAAAAAAAAAAAAGAAGAAGAAGAAATGAAAAGCCATAACCTCAACATCAGCTTCATCATGTTCAAGATGCTTAAATTTATTTATTTATTCCTCATTTGAAAGGCAGAGAGACAGAGAACTCCCACTGGCTGCTTCACTCTCTAAACTTTGGAAAAAGTCAGTGCTTTCTTTACATTGTTAAAGATAAATAGGTGCCCCTTAGAGATGTTTTTAAGATTAGGAGGCCATAGGGCTCGGCGTGAAAGTGTAGTGGTTAAGGTCCTTGCCTTGGACACGCCAGGATCCCATAAGGGTGCTGGTTCTAATCCCGGCAGTGCCGCTTGCCATCCAGCTCCCTGCTTGTGGCCTGGGAAAGCAGTTGAGGATGGCCCAAAGCCTTGGGACCCTGCACCCGTATGGGAGACCCAGAAGAAGTTCCTGGCTCCTGGCTTCGGATCAGCTCAGCTCCAGCCTTTGTGGTCGCTTGGGGAATGAACCATCAGACGGAAGATCTTCCTCTCTGTCTCTCCTCTCTGTATATCCGACTTTCCAATTAAAAATAAATAAATAAACCTTTAAAAAAATAGGAGGGCAGAAAGAAATCAGAAGGAACACAAGCAGGGCTATAACATAATTTCTCATGGAGACTTGTAAAACTGCCCTTGTGGCTAGAAGAACGAACAGGTGCACTGTGGCAATAGAGTTTATCAGAGGAGGCTTTCTTGGGTATTTTCCTGTTAATGTTTTAGCTTTCTGAAAACACTCCTCATCAGCAGATGTTACCATTCTTTGTCTCTGCCCCCCAGAAAGTCAACAGGCAGAAATCCTTGGGGTGTCCCTGCAGGACAGCCGCGGTGACCTTTGCTTTTGCTTCAGCTGGACAGACCCTTCTGTGTTTGCTTTCGTTGCCGTTGGTTTGATCTTGCGTTGCCTTCAGGATTAAGCTGGTAAAGCCACAGGTAATCCACTGCAGCTCCTGGGAGGAAGGCTGCGGGAGGATCCTGGTCCTGCTTCCTGAAGACCTCCCCAAAGGCTCAGCTTGTCTGCAGCTAATTTCAGCAGTCATCCTGGCACTTTGAAGTAAAATGTTTAGTTTGTTTATTTTCACAAGTTGTTCTTGCCCCAGAAGGTCACCCTGGTCAAGAATCATCGTTAGTCTCCACTAAGACTAATGTCCGTGGACCCAAGAGGGGACTTAGAAACAGGGTCCTCACCCCGTGGGCTCCGTGTCCAAGTTGTGCCTGAGAGCCTCCCTGGCGAGGAACTATCAGTTGGCCTTGCGCAAGCAAGCCGGTCTCCAGGGACCTGAGGTGGAGAAGGGAGGGCTGAATGCACTGCGGCCCCTAGCGGGGTGTGGGTAGGATCCCCGAGGAGCTGCTGCTGCCTGGAGCAGTGGGCGAGCAGGACAGCCAGAAAGCTGAGCACTGCTGCTGTGAGGACTGGCCCCCGCTCCATGTGGACCCAAGGTAGCTTGCCGCTGGCCAAGGCCTTTTCCTTCACCAATGAGTTCTCTTTTGCCGGGGGTTTTCACTGGAGACTTAGTGCTAAGGACCCTGGTAGGCACAGTTGTCACCACTGTTCAATTCAGTCATTTCTGTCAATTGAATGTTCACACACACACTCTCTCTCTCTCTCCATCCACTGGTTCATTCCGCAGCTGGCTGTGGGACTTGGAGCTAGGAACTCCATCCTGGTTTCCCGCCATGGGTAACAGGATGGCAGATCATGTCATTGTAAGTTACTGAGAGTTCATTGTGATGCAAAAGGATTTCTGAAACTCAGTCACATTTTTAATGGGTTTCCAGTAGCGTTCTGAAGATCTCCAGTTCATCTACATTTTCCTCCTGCTGCAGCCTTATGTAAAGATGCCAAGAGATGGCCCAGGTGCTTTCCCTGAGCTCCTGTGCTAGCCAGGATAAAGGTCTGGTCCTGTGTCAGGCTCGCTCAGTCATGACAGCATGGTGCATTCTAAGCAACCTAGCTTGTTCTTTGGGAAGCATGGGACCAAACGCCTGTAACAGCAGGCCCAAGTGGAGTCAGAAGTGGATCCCAACACTCCAGTGTGAGGTTCACACATCCCAGCAACTGGCATTTTACATGCTAGGTCAAACAAGTGCCCCATGAGTGTTTTATGGTTGACATTTGGGGGGAAGAAAACACGAGTTGCAACTTGGAGTTGCACTGGCCATATATAAACGAACAAGGGAATAGAAGTGGCACAATCCTGGGAGAACAGTGCATGATAGCTGTCAGATACCATGGTGGGGCAGACATTAAAAGCAGCACACTTCTGGAGTCTGTTTTTCAGTTCCTGTCTTTCCTCTTTGCTGTCTGTGTGATGTTGGGCAGCGTCCCCCCTCTTCCTTCAAGGTGCTGTGTGTAAATGGGAAGTGGTTCATGCATGTCAAATGCCTTGGACGGTGCCTGCGTGTTCGCTGGCGTTAGATGCAGCACCATCTTGTAACAGTGCCAGCTTCCCTCAAGACTCACTCACAGTATTAGAGGTGGTGCTGATGTGGTTGCATTTGCTGTGTCCCTGGGCGCTTGTTAGCAAGGTTTTCAAGAAGTTATCCCTTGGGCGGATCTAGCAGGCTGTTCCTTTTTGTGTTTACAGAGGCCAGGAGAGCGCTGGCATCGTGACCAGTGATGGTAGTTCAGTGCCAACATTCAAAACACATAAGGTAAGTTTAGGTGTTACAAGCCATTGGTGATACAGATATGACAGCCTATGATCGCTGGTGAACTGGCAGGTTGGATCTGATGAGGTAGTAAGTATTGGATAGTTTTCTCCTAGATGTAACACTCAGGTTGTTTGTCCTAATGTGTTTCACGTTGTAATTGCTCATTCACATGCTTTTCAAATAGGAGGTCTTTGTTTAGAGATTGTGACAAGTATTATTGCTTAGTATATCTGTTATTGAAAAGCCCTTAAAATAACGGAAATCTAGCCACAGTTCACTCCCTTACACGCCCTCAGTGGCCAGGAAAAGCAGCTCAAAATGTGACTTACAAAATGCCCTCCAGCTGTTTGCTTTCAAACATCCAGCTGTTTGATTGAATTTGTGCTGTCTGAATTTTATCTTTTTTTTCCCCCCCTTAGAGTATATTTCACAGTTCTTACATTCAGGTTAATTTCAAGATGAGGACTCCGAAGAACATGAACAGTTAACTGGACTTTGTCTAATAAGAAAACCGATTTTCTTCATCTCTAGTAGCATTAGCAGTCCCTGTTTATTCTTCTAAAATGCACTTTTTTTTGACTTTGCTAGGGAATGGGCCTTGTAAATCATGTCTTCACTGAAGACAATTTGAAGAAATTATATGTTTCGAATCTTGGAATTGGACACACGAGGTACGCCACTACAGGAAAGTCTGAATTAGAAAACTGTCAGCCCTTTGTGGTTGAAACTCTTCATGGGAAAATAGCTGTGGCGCATAACGGTGAATTGGTAAATGCTGCTCGATTAAGGAAAAAGGCAAGTAGAGGTTTCCTTTTCTTCTTCTTCTTCTTTTTTTTAATGAAGGGGATTAATGGAAAACTTGGTGAGGACTTGGCTCAGGGCATCCCTGCCTTGGCTGGTTGCATGAGCATTATCAGGAGTACTTGTAGTTTGTTCCAGATTCCAAGGTATTAGCAGGCAAGGTTCTGCATTAAACATGCTCCCAATCTGAATGAACTGCTTTAGAGTAGTGACTCGGAAAAGCTGATTTGTCGTTTCTTCTAGAAGCCTTGAGAAATGAGGGATGATGGATTCTTGCCCTTCCTTTAGTTATTCAGAGCTTGTATTAGGCTGGGAAAAAAACAAACTATTATTCTTAATCTCATACTCGGTACTGTACTCCTCTGTGATCACATGGTGTCCTGTGGTTCACCTATATTCTGATTCTTCAGGACTTAGAGTCAGATCCCAAGGGTTAAGTGTCAGAGTAAGGTTCTGTTTGAGACTCCTACATCCTGAGTCAGATCTAGTGCCTCGGTTCGAGTCCTGGCCCCACTCTGACTCCAGCCTCTTGCTGCTTCAGACTGTGGGAGGTGGCCAGAGACAGCTCGGGTGCCTGGGTCCCTGCTGTCCATGTGAGGTGCGTGGATTGTGAGCTTGTGCCTGCCTTCAGCCTGGTTCCTGTGGCAGGCTATTGGGAAATAAACTGAACAGGGAGTAAAAGCATAGTACCCTCAGCATAGTGGTTAAGATGGCCGCGTTCCACATCAGAAAACCTAGGCTTACTCCCCAGCACACAGGACGCTCTTGCCTCCAGCTGCCTGCTAATGTAGACCGTGGGAGAAGATGGTGAAGGCTCCAATGGCTAAGGTCCTGTCACCCAGGAAGCATTACGTTCAAGCCTCTAGTACTACTGGGCATTCCTTTGACTTCCTCCTTGATCTGGCTGATTTGTCAGAGCAGCATTGGAATTCAGGAAAGTAGTTTTCAATAAAGGAAATTGGAAGGGATGGCGAGGTGAACAGGGTCAATGCGTGGGAGGGGACATCAAACTCCAGGCAGATCCGTCCTCATGCTGCCCCGAATCTGCTCAAACCCTTGGTATTTCTGAGACTCCGTTCTGTGGACATGTTGATTGTTGATAATCTCCACCTTGAGCCCCTCTCCTCTCCCTGGCAGCTGCAATGAGGCTCTCAGTCCCAGCCTGCTAATCCCTGCTGGTTCCTGGCAGCCACATGTCTATCCTGAGCTGCTCTGGTCTGTCACATGGGTCGTAGGGGCCCAAGCACTTAGGCCATCTTCCACTAAGTCTCAGGGGTATCAGCAGGACCCTGGATGGACATAGGGCAGCCACACCTAGCTCCTGTGGGATGCCAGCAGCATGGGTGATGTTGAGATGCCAGTCTCCAAGCTGAGTGGCTGCACTCAAAGAGCACCTGCTTTTTGTGTGTTGTGGGGAGGGGGCGTGGAGACCCTTGTAATACCTGCACTGTTCTTTCTGGATAGCTTCTGCGTCATGGTGTTGGCCTGTCCACAAGCTCCGATAGCGAAATGATTACCCAGTTACTGGCGTACACCCCTCCCCTGGAACAAGATGACACCCCGGACTGGGTAGCCAGGTAATACTAAATCCAGGTCCACACTTGGAGCCCCAGTAATAAGAGCTATGCCTCGAACATGCCTTTAACTGAAGTTACACAGTTGACTTTATCATCAATTCCAGGATTAAAAACTTGATGAAAGAAGCGCCCACAGCATACTCGCTGCTTATAATGCACAGAGACGTGATCTACGCAGTCCGAGACCCGTATGGAAACCGTCCTCTGTGCATCGGTCGTCTCATCCCAGTGTCTGACATCAATGATAAAGGTAGAGATCCTCACCGGGCTGCTCGGGCTGTCACAGAGTCCTGGTTTCATGTTGGAATGGCTTGTTCTGTGGCTATGGCCTTTCTTTCTGATTCACCTGATGTTTGATTGAAGCCATGAAATCCTAATATTAGAGGGTACCTTTCACTTTGGATCAAGTCCAGTGAGGCTGTATCGATGTGCGACTGAATGCATGTTGCGAGTGCCTTTTCTTTGCGCTGTGTGTGTGCTTGATGTCACAACAGCCTGTGTGACAGTCCCTGAGTGCATCAACTGAGCTGATTATCTTGTGATTGACAGGGAAAAGGGCATCAGAAACGGAAGGATGGGTCGTGTCTTCAGAATCTTGTAGCTTTTTATCGATTGGTGCAAGGTAAGTTTTACATCAGCGCATTATCTTTCCCACACACACTGATAAGAAATCTTCCTTTGCATAATTACATGAAAGCTATTCTTTCTGCTGTCTGCAAGAAAACATATGTCTTTCTCATATACATTGTGCTCAGCAGTTACATGGTATTATTTATTATTCATGTTCTGTTTGATAGAAGGACAGAAACTTAGCACCCCTACATTTTTGCATTCTAAATTAGACTTGTTGGATAAAGGAAAGTTTTACAGACATTACTCCTGGAGGCGTATTACTGATTTTTTAAAGAAAATTGTTTCTAGTTTTATGTTAGGTGACTGTTTTTGCTCTGAGGTGGGGAAGACTCCATCTGTGCTGCTATCATCAGTCCTAATGCCTGTGCATCAAACATTGTTTCTCAAGGTATTACCGTGAAGTCTTGCCTGGGGAAATTGTGGAAATATCCAGACATAACGTTCGAACTCTGGATATAATCCCAACATCTGAAAGCAACCCAGTGGCTTTTTGTATCTTTGAGTATGTGTATTTTGCAAGACCAGACAGCATGTTTGAAAGTAAGTAAATCTCTTTCCGTCTTCGAATAGAGCTCTTGTTCTCTCTGCCAGGTGGCTGGGGTTGGCCCAAAGGCTGGCCCCATAGTTAAGGGTGTGGATACCCTACTGGGGCACAACTTATGAGGTCACAGTTATTCCCTTTCTTTCATCTTTCAGAGTTTTTCTTTTAGGTATAAAAATCATGATTTTCAGATTTATATTAAGATCAAACTTGGCTTTTTAAAGATTTACTCATTTATTTATTTATTTATTTATTTGAAAGGCAGAATTAGAGAAGGGAAGAGAAAGTGGGTACATGCTTCCGTCCATTGGTCTACTCTCCAAATGGCTGCAAAGGCCGAGGCAGGGCCGAGGCCAAAGCTAGAAGCTGGGAGCTGCATCCCAGATCTAACATGCAGGTCACAGGGACCCGAGCACTGTTTCTCGGGTACGTTAGCAGGGAGCCGGGTTGGAGGTCCAACATCGGGGACTCCAATCAGTTGGTGCCCATGTGGGATGTCCACGTTGCAGGCAGTGGCCTAAGATGCTGCATCACAACTTCAGCACCTATAATCACATTTTTTTAAAAAGTTCACTTCTTCAGATTGTGTGTTTTCACCTCAGTGGTTTGGTATATATTGCTCATAGAGTTGGAGCACTAGCTTTTTAGGATAGTATATTGTGCTAATACTTCTTTTCCATACATACCAGACCAGATGGTTTATACGGTCAGATACCGTTGTGGTCAGCAGCTGGCAATTGAAGCTCCTGTGGATGCAGATCTGGTCAGCACTGTTCCCGAATCTGCTACTCCTGCTGCCCTTGGCTACGCAGCAAAGGTATTTCCTCTTGGTTAAGATGTGTACTGACTTGCTGGCTGAGCATGGGGATAGGAAGTCCTGCCCTAGGAAGAGAAGCTCATCATCTTGGGAATAAGATTCCCTCTCCCAGTGCCCCAACTGGCTGAAGGCATGGTGGTGGTGGTCGGGCCTTACAAGGTCACTGAGGTTGGAGCCAGGAGGAATCGGTTGGCTGGAGTCAGGACCAGAGCTGGGAGTTAAATGCAGGCACCCCGCTGCAGGGTAGGCTGCCCCAACTGGAACATTCATCCCTTTGTCTTCTCTCGGCCAGTGTGGGCTGCCCTACGTGGAGGTGCTGTGCAAGAACCGCTACGTGGGAAGAACCTTCATACAACCCAACATGAGGTTGAGACAGCTGGGCGTGGCCAAAAAGTTTGGAGTGCTGTCGGACAATTTTAAAGGAAAAAGAATCGTTCTTGTAGATGATTCTATTGTGAGAGGCAACACCATCTCACCCATAATAAAGTTGCTCAAAGAATCGGGTGCAAAAGAGGTAAGTCATGTACACCACACCTGGAAGCACCAGGAGCTGCCAGACAACACTGACATGAAAAGGGCGAATCAGCACAGTGGCTCAGCGTGTCCTAGAAACGACTCTGCAGCTGTTTGGAGAAGTTGTAGTTGTAGAGTTTTGATCGCTTTCCTGATTTGGAGCCATAAAGCCAATTCCCAGTGTGGAAACTAAGCTCATGCTTTGATATCACTTAAGTTTTTAAAATAGCAAACATGGCTGTATTTCTGGCATACTACATAGTTTTACACATGTTAGCACTCCAGCATTCCTAGCTTTACTGGGCTCCGTCTTATCCCGGTTTACAGGTGCCACACTGAAGTGGTGTGTTCAGTTTTTATAGAGGCAGAGCTGACAGCTCATGTGCCTCCCCAAATGCCTCCAGCCTTCTCACTAGGAGCCTGGGACCCCAACCAAGTCTCCCAGGTGAATGACAGACAGCCAAGGACTGAGGGCATCATCTGTCTCCTCGCTGAAAAGTAGAGGCAGGACTCTGTCCCAGGCACTCGGGTGCTGGGAGCTGGCACCCCATACGACAGCCCTGCCCACTACCCTGGAACAGCTGGCCACCATTGTTGTCATTACCTGATGTCACTATTGCAGTTATCTTGGGGTACCATGACCTGTGCTGTAAGACAGCAAAGATACTGAATAACTGGTGTGTGTTCTCATTTGGTCTCTTGGGTCCCTCCTATCTGCCTCCTATCTTCCAGCCTCTCCATTCTCTAGAATACAGTGATACTGAAACTAGAATAACTAATAACCTTTTCCTTTTCTACTCGAATATCATTGCTAAATGTCCTGTGAAATAATTTTATGTTCCAGTTGATGAAGAAATGAGAGCTTTGCGCATTCTTAATAACATGTATAAAATGATTTCTTTTCTAGGTACACATTCGAGTGGCTTCTCCACCAATTAGATACCCTTGTTTCATGGGAATAAACATTCCCACAAAAGAGGAGCTTATTGCCAATAAGCCAGAATTTGATTGTCTTGCAGAATATCTTGGTGGGTATTAAAATTCCCGTAAACTTTGTTAAGAGAACAAATCCAATGCTTATTGATCCTTATACTGTTTATAAGAAGTGGTGTCAAGTGTCTGTTAGAAGTAGTAGTTGCGTATGTCAGGCAGGTACAGAACATTGGTAAGGGTGAGGGGCAGGTGGAGACACCACAGGCAATGCTGGACTGGAAAACCATCAGAGATTCTAAGAGAAGAGACTTGAACAGGCTTCTCTCTCATTTTAAATCTTTGTTTATTTGAAAAAGAGAAATGAGGAGAGAGGTCTTCCGTCCACTGGGTGTCCCTCAAGCGTGCAGGGGCCCCAACACTTGGACTGTCTTCTGCTTTTCTCAGGCCGTTGTTAGGGGCCTACGTGCTTGAGCCTGCTCCTATGATGCACATTAATGGGAACCAGGATTGACGTCCAGGCACTTCCAGGGCCCCAGCAACTTAACCTGCATTTTTCTTTTCTTTTCTTTTTTCTTTTCTTTTCTTTTTTTTTTTTTTTAAGATGGACCAAAACTGTTCTCTGTTGAAGTGTTGATGCCTTTTCAAGAAATTCTCTTGATCGCCTTCTTTTTTTTTTTCCTCTGCTTCCTCCTTCAGGAGCCAACAGTGTTGTGTATCTCTCAGTAGAAGGACTCGTCTCATCTGTACGAGAAAAGCTAAAATTTCAAAAGCAGGAAGTGAAAAATCATGAAGTGATTCAGGAAAATGGAATTGGTCCAGAAAACTTTGAAAGGAACGGCCATTGCACGGCTTGCCTCACTGGCCAGTACCCTGTGGAACTGGATTGGTAGCTGGTCCGGGACAGGCGCATGGCTTCGACGTACAAAGCTGGGCCAGAAGTGGCAGTGGTGACACATTTCCTGTTTACTGTTCCTCAGTTGGTACAATACAAAATGCCACCTACTCGTGGGCCGGTACGGGTCCTGAAGATGATCCGAGTGCTATAATTGAACCTTGCCGGCAGCATGTCATGCAGGGGTGTCTTTCGGCTTGTTATTGTTGCTGTTGTAGCAGTGTGTGTCCCTCCGCACCCAGCAGAGGAGGCATCTCCCAGGTCCGTGTTTCAGAGGCTCTGCGAGACGTTTGCCTGAGCGGGAGCATGGTGCAGATGGGACAGGTGAGTTACACATGAGAGCTCATGCAGAGCTTCAGGGCGTAGACCCCGACGAAGGCTGGCCTCCATTGTCCTGGCTGTGGCTTATGCATGTGGCGTCCCTGCCTAACCTTAAACAGATAAAAAGCAACAGCAACAACAACAACAAAAAAAATCTTTCTGTGCCTCAGTTTCCCCACGTATGTGTTGGGGTGTTTTTATTGTTAAACAATTATTAGGACTGTGAATAACTCATAGGCTTGGTGATTCAAGCCCACATCTCATCCCCAAGATTTAAGAGATTATGTGAATATTGGCTTTTGGAAGGTAATGGTCGTGAGCTTTTTGGAAATCAGTTTGTAATGAAGGTTTCCTGAAGGTGGAGTCCAAGTACAGTTAGGCAAGTCTTTGCCATCTATATTTGGGGTGCTGAGAATGGTGGTAAAAAAAAAAATCTGTCTACGGTAGAGGTTTCCCTACATCCAACTAGAAGCTGTCATCTGAAATATTTAGTGCCCTGATGGGATAAGCCACCAAGGAACTCAGTATATTGGAAATGAAGACACATGTTCCAGCAAGCCCTTTCTTCCTAATTTTCCCTGATTATCATCTTTTTGAATAAAGTGTTTCATCACATATAAGCATATATACATAGATTTATCTGTATCTATCTATACACACACACATACATCACACATACAATTGCAATTAATGATCAGGTAAAAATATACCAGGGACCAAGTATGTTTAATAATCAAAGAGACATACTTTTTTGAAATTTGAGTGCCCATGTCTAAGCATCAACTTATAATCACTCTTTTCTACTTAGTAAGGATCTAGTGATTTTCTTTCTAAGCTTTTTCTGAGATTCAGATTAAGATGACTTGCCTATCAACCCTGCTTCTTGGTGACTGGAGCCAACCTCTCATCCCTAAATTTTAAGATAGTATGTGATTGTTAGCTTTTTCAAAGCTCCAGCTTTTTTGAAAATTTTCTTTCTTTCTTTTTTTTTTTTAACATGCATCTGTCTGTTTCTGTTGCATTGCCACAGTCTGATGTATATAGTATTCAGATCCACTTAGAAATGCTGTATTTATTCAAGGCTGCAATTGCTCGTCTTCATTTGGTCTGTTGTCTGGTGTCTGACAGTGACTCTGGGGCTGTAATGCCAGTTGGAGCAGGCAGAGTGACCCCCATAGCCCTGGGACCACGCAAGGGGACATGGCCTGTCATCTGTGTTTTCAGTGGCCACGCCAGGGGTGTGGCCATCATCTGTGAGCTCCCCATTGACCTGTGCCTCACTTGTGACCTGGCCATTCTTATCTGCAATCCTTACAGAAACCGAGACACTCAGGGAGAGTACCACACCACAATCTCTGATTGACATTCATGCTCTTGGGAGCTTGTTTCATCAAGATGTTTTTATAAAGGGAAATAATACTGTGACAGGTTACGAATTCTACAGATTCTGTAGTATTTCTCCAACGTGGACTTTAATTTCACAAATGTCTGACATCTGAGCTAAACTGCAGGTTTTTTTTTTAACTAGTATAGTTTCATATATTGTTTAACTGCTTTAAATTTATATGAAGATTGTAAACTGCAAAAGTAAAGAATGTGTTTTCACAGGATTTATTTGTGAATTAAACTAAGCCTACTTTGTGACCTCTTTGTGATACCTTGGTGACAAGTATCTGTATAATAAATGTGTTTGATTATATAGATGACTTCGGTTAGTCCTTGCTGGTAAACAGCTTTGGGGTACAGATGGGGGTCTCGTGTAATTGGGAAGTTGTTGGATGGTAGAAACAATTCCTTTTTAGATATGCAGGAATACTGAATTCTCCGATTTGGGCAAAGACGACTGCACAAAGATATCCAAATACTCGTCCTCGGTCACTGAGTTTCCTTCCTGGGAAAATACTTGTGTGGATTCAGTGCTGACACACCAATAACCCTCAAGGGCATTATGGCTGATATTCTGTATCAGTTTGCTTGGACTGGAGTGCCCAACTGTTGGTTCAAGCCTCAAGATGTCACTGAGACAGATGTCTTTTGATGGCTGGTAAAGCAGCTTCCTGGTACAGTGTGGGTGGGCCTTATGTAGAAGCAGGACAGGTGCCCTAAACAAGCAGTCTAAGGCTGCTGCACAGAAGCTGCCTGATCTTCCCTCCTGCCAGCCTGTGCACGTGGAACCATTGCATCCTGGGAAATGTACGTGCATGCTTCTGCTTTGGACGCCTGAACCCTGGACAAGAGCCTGGAACCGCATCTTGGCTCTGCTGCCAATTCTAACTTCCTGCTAGGGTGCAGTCTGCCAGCTTCTCTGCTACCTGCCTTGCAGAGTGGATTGGATTCATGACTCCTGGTTGTTGAGGGGTGAAGCACCTGGAGAGACAGCTTTTTTTTTTTTTTTTTTTTTTTTTAGTGGGAGGATTTAAATGCCACTAGCCCCACCATCCTGTGAGCCAGTTAGAGTTGGGTCAGTGCAGTAGCCAGGCACAAACTGTTACCGCTAAGGCATGCTGTTGTTACAGCGTTTATAACATAATGTCAGCCTCGAGAGTAGAAGACTTTATAATGAGTGGTAGCCCCTCAGGAATGAAAGCAGAAGGGATATGGGAATATTCTAGAACAATAGCAAAGACTGAAAGCACGGATGTGGAAAAGCTAAATACCAAACAGCAGTGAGCAAATCTAATCCTGTTTGTATCACACACAGACCATCTCCCCCTCACCCTGCCTAAAAAGGTTGGGGTATGTAAGAAGTAAAGAAATTGCTGGACATTCATTTGAAGTGTTACATCGCTTACTACACTCCCACCTCCAGCCTGATAGCAAAGATGTAACTTTATTGTTGTTTTAAGATTTATTTATTTTTACTGGAAAGGCAGATAACAGAGAGGAAGATCTGTTTGATGGTTTACTCCCCCAAGTGACGGCAATGGCCAGTGCTGAGATGATCCAAGCCAGGAGCCAGGAACTTCCTCCAGGTCTCTCACATGGGTGCAGGGTCCCAAAGCTTTGGGCCGTCCTCGATTACTTTCCCAGGCCACAAGCAGGGAGCTGGATGGGAAGCAGGGGCCTCCAGGATAGGAACCCGCACCAATGTGGGATCCTTGTGCATTCAAGGTGGGGACTTTAACCGCTACACTATTGTGCTGGGCCCCAGACTTAACTTTGTATTGGAGGACACCCATGTGCTGGTTCACTTCCCAAATGGTGGCAGTGGAGTGGGCTGGCCCAGACAGAAGCCAGGAACCTGCAATTCCATCCAGGTCTCCTGCATGGGTGGCAGAGACCCCAAGCACTTGGGTTATCTGTCACTGCTTTCCCAGACACGTGATCAGGAAGCTGGATGGGAAGAGAGCTGCCTACGGGATATGGGCATGGCTGGTGGCAGTTTAATTCACTATACCACAACACTTCCCACCGCCAGGCAGTTTAAATAGGGAGAATTACAAGAACCTTAAATGTCTGAGACCCGTCATCCACTGAAATTCTTATTTTCAACAAAACTTACCCCGCCTACTCAGAGCTTCCAACTGGGGTTTTTGTTAGAGCAGAGAATCAGAGATCAACTGACACCTTAGCATGAAAGATCCTGAAAGCAAAAAGATGAGATGTCAAGAGACAGTGCTGGGGGGCCTGGCGCAGTAGCCTGGTAGCTAAGGTCTTCGTCTTGGACGTGCCGGGATCCCATGCGGATGCCGGTTCTAATCCTGGCGGCCCTGCTTCCCATCCAGCTCCCTGCTTAAAGCCTGGGAAAGCAGTTGAGGACAGCCCAAAGCCGCCTTGGTACTCTGCACCTGCATGAGAAACCCGGAAGAAGCTCCTGGCTTCAGATTAGCTCAGCTCCAGCTGTTGAGGCCACTTAGGGTGTGAACCATCAGACAGAAGATCTTCCTCTCTGTCTCTCCTCCTCTCTGTATATCTGCAATTCCAATAAAAACAAATAAATCTTAAAAGAGAAAATGAGACAGAGGTGGGGGGAGAGCAGGGGGAAATTCTTAGGAGAGCTCCCTGCAAAGCAGGGCTCCAAGAGGATGCGGCAGAGCACCCGGGCAGCAGCAGACCTGAGCCAAGCTGGCCTGGGTCGGCTTTCAAAAGGGAAAAAAGGTGGAGATCTCAATGGAGGTACAGCAGGTGGGGACGAAGATGTTAGTATTTGGATGTTGCCTCTCTGGGGATCCACATCCCTGGCAAAGTCCTGCAGCCAGCTGGTGTGGATAGAGGGCTAACCGGACAAGGAGGGGAAGAGAGGTGAGGCTTCGCCATCAGGGCCACCTCCATAGTTGGACAGCTCTCCTCCCCCAAGTCCTGTGGCCATGGCACAAGTTAGTGGTAGGAATGCTGCTCTGCCTGCCAAGGAACATCATCCTGTGTCCGGGCGGAGGGGGTGGAGAGCAGTCAGCCTTCTGGCTGGTCCCTTGCCTTAGCTAGTCGTTCTAAATGGGCTGCAGCTCCAGCCCCCGCGGGTGTTTGGCCACGAGCCAACACCACTGGTTAGCTCATATCGTTGTGGTTTTTTGTTTGTTTTGTTTATTAATTTTTAAAGATTCTTTTTTTATCAGAAAGCCATTTAATGAGAGGAGAGACCAAAAGATCTTACATCCTCTAGTTCATTCCCGAAGTGGCTGCGATGGCTGGAGCTGAGCTGAGCTGATCTGAAGCCAGAAGCTCTTCCAGGTCTCCCACGCAGGTGCTAGGTCCCAAGGGCTTGGGCTGTCCTCACTGCTTTCCTAGGCCACAGGCAGGGAGCTGGATAGGAAGTGGGGCTGCTGGGATTAGAACCAGTGCCCATATGGTATCCTGGCGTGTGCAAGGGGAGGACTCAGCTACTAGGTTATTGTGCCGTCCAGTTTTTAGGGCCCCTGCGGTTGCGCTGCGCATACTCCTGACCAAGGGCCACCATCGTCCCCAACTCCCTCCTGTCAGCAAGGCAAGTCTCCCAGTGCGGGTTTTCTGGTCGTTTCCTTGGCGTTAACCAGTGCTAGGCATGAACCCGCTAGGACTCTGGATTCCCATAGAGCGATACCGGTGGGTAAAGAGGGTCGGTAACGGGGACATCTCTGGAGCTATTGCTACAGTTTTTGTTGTGTTAACAGTTCTTTACTGGACTGCCATCTAGATATATCTCCCTCCGCTCCCACACTAAAAAACGAACAAAAACTCTGGTTGTTTCTTCTGACTCCACACAGAGTAACTTTACAGCACCCCTGATATTACCCCTGACACCCACAGGGCGCCCATGAAGACAGCTCGTGGGACTGTCCACTTCAGACACGTTTTATTTTAAGAGATGCTATGGAGGGGCCAGTGCAGTGGCTCAAGAAACTAATCCTCCACATGCTAGCACCAGCATCCCATATGAGCGCTGGTTCGTCTCTCTGCTATGGCCCGCGATTGAGGAGGCGACCCTGCTACGAGGCGCGCGCGCTGACGTCAGCGCGACCCACGGCGCCGGAGACTTGCGTAAGCGCCGCGCGACTCCTCTGCTGCCCAGATCTCCGGAAGCACCGTGGAGGCGGTGGGTGTCTCAAGCAGGTGCACGGAGAGGATTAATTCCCTAGGTCCTTTACCCCTTAAAATAGCCGTAGAATTGGGCGCTCTTGAGACCCGTCCGTGGCTAAAGAGCAGTCTGTAACTGCGTCGTAATAAGCTGGATCCCGTTCCATGGACAGTATTCCTACTCCGTCTTGCGTTTCCTCCCGTTTTCCCATACGGCTTGGCTTCTAAGAAGGACAGTTTTGTCTGTTGGAGAGGGATTTAATTTGTGACACAGTGAATGAGCCCCCGAGCTTCTCGAGTGGCAGCTGGGCTGTGCCTTAATTTCTCTACATAAGCGCGAGAACCTGCGAGTGGAGACCGCCGAGTTGTTGCATGGAGTGTGGTGAGTGTTGTGGCTGGGATGTGCAGGCAGGCCCTGGGACCCTCAGGGCTGCAGATGCTGGTCCAGAAGGTCCCCTGTGTGCCCAAGGGAAGCTTCCACACTGCGCAGGACAGAAAGAAGCGCTTGCAGAAATGCTGGTCCAAGTGTGCAGTAGGTGAGGAAGCACTGCGCGTGTGCAGTCGTCGACGATGCTCAGGTGCAACGTAGTTTTGCTGCTGCTGTTCTTGTCAAGTCTGGACCTCGTTTTCGTCTAAACTTCAGTGCCTATGCAAATTTAAAAACAAACTTCATTTTACATTGGCTGTTTCAAAGTTACCTTGTAGGATATGACAGTTACATCTTTTTATCTCTTTAAAGAAATAAAAGAAAGCGATGGTTTAAATTTGGTTGTATTATTTTATGATATAATTTTTTAATGGAGGGGCCAGATGAGAGAGTAGGATGCGTTTCTACCCCTCTTATGTTTATGGTTTCTGCAGGTTTTGTTAAGGCTCCGCCCTGGCGATTCAGTTACCTGCCTCAGGGTGGCGGCACTGTGCCACGGACAGCTGGGTCCTCTGCTGCCCAGGGCGCATGTTCCTGCCGCGGCGGGGAGATGACACTGCATGAGCTGGTACACCAGGCTGCTTCCCAGCACTGGGACAGAACAGCCGTGCGTTTCGACGCGTGTGATGGCCAGCCCCCTGTGTGCCACACTTACAGTGCCCTCGTGACCACTGCGTCCCGGTTATCACGCTTCCTGCTGCTTCACTGTGACCTGGAAGAAATTCGACAAATTGGGCTCTACTGCCAACCTGGTGTCAACTTGCCTTCTTGGATTTTAGGGT